ATAGGTGTTGAAGGCTTAGCACAAGACCTCAGACGATCAAAGTTGGCCATTAAGACAGTGTAGGTGTGTTATAGGGGGGGGGGGCAGACTCAGCGGTCACACGAAAACTATTAACTTTGATGATCTATGTCCCCGATTTTGTTAACATTTTGAGGAAGTTCCAAGCCTATGAGACGGTGTTGTATTTTATATATTTAACATAAACAATTTATTGCGATAATCAAACTGTGGAATAAATCGATTAATTAAATCCAAAGAGAAATTGTAAAATGAAGATTAAACAATGTATAAAAAACTAATTCATTATTTGGTAGAGATGATGTAGCAAGTAAAAAGAGCCCCTGTAGTAAGTGGTGATGGATGGTTGCTCCTGTAGTAAGTGGTGATGGATGGTTGCTCCTGTAGTGAGTGGTGATGGATGGTCGCTCCTGTAGTGAGTGGTGATGGATGGTCGCTCCTGTAGTGAGTGGTGATGGATGGTCGCTCCTGTGGGTGGTGATGGATGGTCGTTCACTACAGCAGTGAGTGGTGATGGATGGTTGCTCCCTGTAGTGAGTGGTGATGGTGGTCGCTCCTGTAGTGAGTGGTGATGGATGGTTGCTCCTGGTGAGTGGTGATGGATGGTCGCTCCTGTAGTGAGTGGTGATGGATGGTCGCTCCTGTAGTGAGTAGAGGTGATGGATGGTCGCTCCTGTGGTAGTGGTGATGAATGGTCGCTCCTGTAATGAGTGGTGATGGATGGTTTGCTCCTGTAGTGAGTGATGATGGATGGTCGCTCCTGTAGTGAGTGGTGATGGATGGTCGCGCTCCTGTAGTGAGTGATGATGGATGGTCGCTCCTGTAGTAAGTGGTGATGGATGGTTGCTCCTGTAGTAAGTGGTGATGGATGGTTGCTCCTGTAGTGAGTGGTGATGGATGGTCGCTCCTGTAGTGAGTGGTGATGGATGGTCGCTCCTGTAGTGAGTGGTGATGGATGGTCGCTCCTGTAATGGGTGGTCACGTAAGGCAGAAGCTGATAACTAGAAAGCTTAAATTAGAAACACACCTGTACACATTCATCTCCCCATAAGTTCAGAGCTCATCAGGTGAGAGAGGTAAGCTCCTACCCACGTATGGACAGGTATAGCTCTGTTTAAGTACATAGTGAATGTAATGTACCCAGCATCCTACAGCAGCAGTATATAGAGGTAGTGAACACACGGTAAAAAGCCTACGAAATACTTTTGAACTTTTGGTAATTGGAACTGATAATGTTCAATTGACTTTTCCTTGAAGAGTAAAGTTTTAAGTGTGTCTAATGAGGCAAGTAAACGTGTTGTAATTCATTAGGATCTGTTAAGACTTTGGGGGTGAAGTTGATTGTTTCATTCAGGAGGTTAAGGCTTTATAATGGAAAGTGTTTATATATACTTACAAGACTGAGGGTAGACTTTATTAAAACAATCTGATATACTTGTGTCTAATTGTTGTTTCATAGTATTAAACAAGTATATAGAATCATCACAAAGTTGTAATATTAAAGTTCCTGGTCCCTGGTCCCTGGTAGTGGTGGTGAGAGGGGGTTGTAGCTGCCACTATGAGCTTCTAAGACACACGTGTAAAACTAGTGATAAAAATAGTGGCTCCTGTATTAATGTTGCTGATAGAACTTATTCCTTTGCTAGGTGTTACTGTTTCTGCAACTATTATTGTTGATATTGGTAAGAGTAATAATATAATGATAGTTTATTGTAATATACTACTACTACTACTTTTTTTTGTGGCCTCCAGCCTCCCCCAATAGCCACACCTTCGCCACCATTTAATTACCTTAATATTAAATATCCTAATACATAAGTAGCTATCCTACTACTACTAATACTAATACTAATACTAATACTAATACTAATACTAATACTAATACTATCCTACTACTACTAATACTAATACTAATACTAATACTAATACTAATACTAATACTAATACTAATAATAATAATAAATAAAAGAATAACAATAATAATAACAACACCCACCCCGAATTGCTTAGTAAACCCAAGCGTAATGTATCGCTAGTGACGAGAAAGTCTACGGAAAACGCAACCCACATTTCACTTACTGCAGCAAAAGGAAATAGACGAAATGAGTGAATATACAGTACAGTACAAGTGATCGTGGGCTCTTCGTGCCCGGTGGCGAGTCCGGTGGTACAGTTTACCGAGGCGTGAAACTCTATTAATAAACCGTTTATTATTATTATTATTATTATTATTATTATTATTTTATTATTACACACACACACCTAGTCCTATAGTATATTAGATAGACGTTAATCAGATGGAAAAGGATTATTAAGGATAAACTAAAGTAAAGTAAATGAATAGTGACGGTCGTATCTGACGTCAATAAACTACACAAACACAAAGGCTTTCCACCCGTAATTAAAATATATCAACAACATTAATAACAACAATATTGGTAATGTGGACCATGAAGCGAGGTTGGTGGGTGGCAGTGTTGGTACTCCTGACACCATCGGAGGAAATTTTTTTTGGAAAAGTAGTTAATGTGGAGAAAGTATTATTATTTTTACTTGTTTTGACGAAAGGAAAATTAATCCCTTATATTTTGGTTGTTAGTTTTATGATATTTCTTCGGTAAGGACAGTAGGGGTGAGGTAAGCAATTCTCTCTCTCTCTCTCTCTCTCTCTCTCTCTCTCTCTCTCTCTCTCTCTCTCTCTCCCTCTCAGGTACTTGTTGTCACCTCTCACCTTTACACATCACTAACAAATTACTGTATAATAGGATGACGTCGTTGTATTATTATTATTATTATTATTATTATTATTATTATTATTATTATTATTATTATTATTATTATTATTATGATTATTATTATTATTATTATTATTATTATTATTATTATTATTATTATTATTATTATTATTATTATTATTATTATTATTATTATTATTATTATTATTATTATTATTATTAGTAGTAGTAGTAGTAGTAGTAGTAGTAGTAGTAGTAGTAGTAGTATAAAATGGTGAAGTAGAAGCTCTCTGGTCTTGTTAACAAAATATAATTATGAGGGTTGACGCTGATTTAATTACATTTCTGTTATCATTACGGCCCACATCTCTGGCAGGGTCCAGTACAGTGAGGATTTAAACCTAAGACTCACCCATATCATTATCTTATATGAGTGGAATTCCTATCATAGAATAATGGCAACACCGCCCTTATGTCGGTCATTATTTAAACTCTTGTTATACTGTAATTCATGGTTCAGTTATCGAGTGGATAGAGAATTCAGCTCTTGGTTTAAAGGTCACTGGTTTGATCCCGAGGCACTCCCAGCTCACTCATCTTTATATGGGTACCTCAATCTACAGTTGGGGAAGTGACGTTGGTTGAGTGCAGTGTCGGCCATTTGCCTCCCTCAATATACACACTGTCTCCAACGGGTAATTATGCCTGTAAGACTTGCCTTCACGTTTTTACCTTCTGATCAGCTACCTAGGGGTTAGGTTAGGTTAGGTTAGGTTAGGTTAGGTTAGGTTAGGCTAGAGTAGTTAATCTTCAGGTGAAATAATCTGGGGATAATCTCCATGTGATCTGCATTTCGTTACAAGGAATATTATTACTTTGTGTCACACTGATCATACACACAACGCAGGACTCCATCAAACTACGTCGCAACACAGCTTGAAATTCAGTGATTCCCCATCGCGTATACGTGTTATATTCATGTAGTTCATTAATGTGTTTCCAGGAACAACCTCACAGGTCGTCGTAGTTCTGTGGGAGGAGATGAAACTCGAATTTTGTTTATTGAAATAGTTTAATGGCCGACGGCAGCTTAGTCGTGTGTGAGTTGTGTATTCCATATGTTATCGAGATGTTACTCTTCCTTTAACTGTGACAAGAGATAAATGTTCATTACGATTTCATGAATTTGCCACATTCATATCGGCTAAGTGAATGATTCTTGGTAATCCATCTCCTCATTCTTTCCCTGGTAATGCTTGGTTAAGGTACAATAGTATCTTCATGTAATCCATATCGATGTAATGCTATATGCTCTTGTACTTACACTTGCATTTAGATAAACAAACGCAAATTTTCTTCCCTGCTTCCTCTTCTAATATTAATATCTCACAAGATCAGTGGACGTTGGACACTTGACCCTTGACCTGTTCCTATAACGTGATAACATGGGTCACCCTTGAGAATTATCCAAACTCTCACGTCATTTCTGTCCGATTCCAAAGGATATATAGGATACCTGGCTTCTGTTTGATAGGATTTTAACTTGTATTTGCATTTGATTAATTAAAACATTTGCCTTTGCATTTAAATGTATAAGCCTACATATGAACTTAAGCCTGACACCAAATCTAATTTCCCTCTTATATCCTGCTAGTTACTTCACGTGGGAGATGGACGTTTGAGGTTAGCATGATACATACCAGGGCTACCAACTGCTCTTCGGGACACATACCAGGGCTACCAACTGCTCTTCGGGACACATACCAGGGCTACCAACTGCTCTTGGCTCTAATAAACAGAAGGACATATAACTATTCTCTCAGACATAACACGACACTTGGCAGCCATTGTTATTTTTTGGCTGAGACTTGACTATAAACATTCAATTAATTACAGCCATACTAGTGTTTTATATAAAAAAACAAAATATTCAACCATAGTCAATGAAAATGTATGCTATAGAAAACGGGATGATTTATTACTACAACTGAAGTCAAAATCATTCCGCTCCTTCACTGCCTGCCCCTCCATCACACTCCAACCTCTCTGGCTGTCACCTTTCATTCTTCAGCCTCTACTCGCTGTCAGTTATTTTTCCTTAAATCTCTTTCAAAACTCGACCTGTTTGTTCTGGGTTTTTTTTCCCTCTGCCATAGTGGGATTGACAGCGTATATTGTTATGGCAGAGTCTTTGTGGAGTTTGGACGCCATTATGGGCTTTGGGGGTGTTTTTTTTTTACTATGTAGACTTTGACGAAGATTATGACGAAGGCAACGACGAAGACTATGACGAAGGCAACGACGAAGATAACGACGAAGACCGTGATGAAGACTATGACGAAGGCTAAAACGAAGACTACGACGAAGACATCATGGAATATTACAATTTAACACGTGGTATATCATACGGCATTTAACTGGTTGTTTCCGTCGTAGTCTTCTTTGTCATAGTCATCATAAAATTATTGTCTTCATCGCCATAGTCTTCACTGTAGTCATCATCATCGCCGTATTTTTCCGTTTTATTGTTATAATCATCGTCATCGTTGGTTTAATAAATAAAGAATGTTTATGTCTAGAGCCCCACCTACATAAGTCATACACAATATTACTTGACCTACTATAATACAACACGCATAGTCTACCTGTCCTACCTGACCTATCTTACCTACCTTAAAATATCATTAATGACCAGAAAATTGAAGGTCCTTTACTTTAAAATGTCACTTTTATTTTCATACAGAGTTCAGAAGCTTTGTATTGGCTTATGTCTTACACACTGGGGACTGTACGGTGCTTTTATTTTTATCTCTTAATCCTGTGGGTGGATTACACACACACACACACACACACACACACACACACACACACACACACACTGTATGAACAAGAGGATTAAAACATAAAAAGAATTTTGAATTTTAGGAATATTTAGGTGTCGTCTGTGTGTGTGTGTTAACCCTTCATTTACACACCTGTGACTCCTGCAGGTAACACTGTCTTCATATGCCTGTGACTCCTGCAGGTAACACTGTCTTCATACACCTGTGACTCCTGCAGGTAACACTGTCTTCATACACCTGTGACTCCTGCAGGTAACACTGTCTTCATATAAGTAAGAGTTAGTCGTTCAGCGTCGCGCCAGTTAAAATAGTTATATATAGAGCTGCTGGCGCAACTTGATTTAGGTATAGTGAGATTAGTTCAAGTTTGTCAATTAAAGTAAAGACTAAGGAATTTGGTAAATTGTAGGAGCTTATGACATATGGGGAGTGTGAGTGAATGAGGCAGTCAGTCGTTCATGCGTCAACTCCCTCAGTCAAACATAACAATCCAGGAGTAGATGTAGGAGTGGTTTGGTTGATGTATGTAATCTGGTTTAAAAAAAATACTTGAATAATAATGAAGTGATTTACTGATCCAGTTGTTGATACGTTTTATTTGTGTGGACCATTTTATATGAAACATCTAACACATATGCGGTATTTTTGTATTTGTGTGTGTGTGTGTGTGTGTGTGTGTGTGTATAGCTATGTGTGTGTGTGTGTGTGTGTGTGTGTGTGTGTTTTACTATAGCCCTTCCCCTCAAAAAAAAAAATGGTCAGCCTAAAAGTCACCACCACCATTTAACATTTAATAAGCCCTGTAAAGTATTCATGCAAACTTGTAATGGTCTTAACTTCCCGAGTTCTTGAATTCTGGACGTCGCAAACTTGTTAAGTCTTGAAGATTCGAAATTATGAACTTGCTCCATCCAAAGTTCCAGCTGTTGGGGGTTACAAGCGTTCTGGGTGCTGAAAATCTGAACAAAACAGAAGAATATACAAAGTTATAAGATGTTCGAAGTCTTGGCTACCCAGATTTTTTTTTAAGAGATATTAAATTCTGAAAAGCTTGGAATTCCGAAATTATAAATTCCCAGTTTTGGATTCTTTAAGTTTCGAATCTTGAGGTCCTAAGTTCTTAAAGTCTTTAAGTTTCGAATCTTGAGGTCCTAAGTTCTTAAAGTCTGAGATTTTCCTAGAATGTTAAATTTCCATATTCGAATCTTTATGGTCTTGAATTCTCCAAATCTTAGAATATCCGTATTATTGAATTGTGAGTTTTAGCATCGTGAAAGTTCCTCGTCTGGTTGCGATTTTTCATGTCAGGTCGCCGAGTGACTTTCTGGGTCAGGTAATAAATTCCCGAGTCGAATCGTGACCTTCATCGTCGGGTCTTAAAATTCTGCGTTGGCTCGTGATCTTCCGAGTCGGGTCGTGATCTTCCAAGTTTGTGTCGTGATCTTCCGAGTCGGGTCGTGATTTTCCAAGTCGGGTCGTGATCTTCCGAGTCGGGTCGTGATCTTCCGAGTCGGGTCGTAAACATCCGCCTCAAGTCGTGAATTTACGTGGTCGTGGAGGTTGGAACCCTGACTCAGGCCAGCCCACGAGGCTATTGTCTCTCTGAAGGTTCTAACTTACCTCACTCACTGTTGCATGTTACTGTACTTGACGTCTGTTGTGGGCTGTGTGGTGGGTGATGTGGGCTGTAATCTGTGTGTGGTGGGCTGTATTTTTTGTGGTATGGGTAAGGTGACACCATTTCCATAATAGTTTTTTTTCTCTCTCTCTCTCTCTCTCTCTCTCTCTCTCTCTCTCTCTCTCTCGAGTAATCTTCATTCATACTGGAATATAAAACCCGTAATTACGTTAAGTTATATCTCAGATGAGAAAGAGAGAGAGAGACGAAAGACAAGAAAAGATAAATAAAATGAAAATAGATAAAGAAGAATTTTAAAAAGAAGGATACAAAGGAGGGAGAGAGAAATTAAAGATGAGAGAAAGATAGAAAAAAGCATGAAATAAAGCAAGAAAAAACAATAAGAAGAAAGACAGAGAGAGAAAGAGAGGGAAGAGAGAAATATTATATCCCCAAACTTAAAAAAAAAAATCTATTAACATTTAATTCCCCTGAAGTAATCCACTAATTGATTTTTTTTCTCATATTCCTCTCTGGTTAATTAAATTTTTTTTAACCTTAATTTTTTTTTTTTTGTAGAAACTCTTAATTTAATTCCACTTTTTTTTCTTATTTAGACAATAACCTCAATTGTTTTATCAACTGACGTAAATTTCTTGTTGGGGGGAAGGGGAGGAGGAGGGGGGAGGTGGGGGGAAGGAGGGGGAAAGGAGGGATGGGTGGAAGGGAAAACTCACGAGAATTACACGCTGAGATAATTCCTGCCTGGTTCTTTTTGAGAGAATGAATGTATTTTTGTGGTGGTATATGGGGGAGGAGGGGAGGGGAGGGGAAGGGGAGGGGAGATAAGAAGGGTGGTGGGAAGAAGGAGTAGAGGTGAGGGATGTTGGAGGAGGTGAGGGGAGGGATAGTGGAGAGGGGAGAGGAGGGGAGGGGTTGTGGATGAGGGAGGGGAGGCGAGGGGTGGTGTAGAGGCCAGACAATAGGAGGTACTCACACCACCCTCAGTTTCCACATCCCTGCCTGCGAATGAGAGGAGGTAAAAAAAAAATGAAAAGGTAACAATAAAACGAATGATGGAATAAAGGAAGATGTAGTGGATGATAGTGGAGGGGGAAGTGAGGAGGGAGGGGAGAGGAGGTAGAGAGGGAGTGGGGATAGAGGGGGAGGAGGTATAGAAGAACGAAGGAGGACACGGATACGAGGATAAGGAGGAAAAACGAAGAAGACATTGAGAAAGATAAACGGGAGATGGCAGGAAAGAGAAGAAAAAGGAAAAAGGAAAACAAAATACAACGAAAGGAGAGATAGAAGAAAGAAGAAAGCATAGGGAAGACTTAAACACGAGAGAGGAGACAAAAGCGCTTACAGGAAGATGAAAAGAAGAAAATAAGAAGAATAGAGCGAAAGATGAAGAGGGAAGAGAAGGGAGAGGTGGAGGAAAAGACGATAACACATACGTCGGTTCGTTGCCAAAGTCGGAAATGAGAAAACGAGTAAGAGATATGAAAATTCGTGGCACTGATGGATGATTAGACCGGTTCTGTGGTTCATGGTTGGTCCTGGGGGAGGTTCTGTGGTTCACTGTTAATAGGAAGATTCTCCGGTTCACTATTGGATACAAAATACTTTAGTGGTTCATTTTTTAGGATGGGAAGGCAATGGTTCCATGGTTCTTTGTATCAGGTGATAGATCTATGGTTCACAACAACAACACAAGATGGTTCCATGGTTCTCTGTATCAGGTGATAGATCTATGGTTCACAACAACACAAGATGGTTCCATGGTTCTCTGTATCAGGTGATAGATCTATGGTTCACAACAACAACACAAGATGGTTCCACGGTTCGCCTCGCTTTATACAACATTCATGCCAAGTCTTAAACTCCTCCTCATAACGTCTCCTCGCCTCCTCAGAGATCGTTTCTCGCCGGAAAACTACAGAATGATAACACGTCCCCCGTTCAAAACTTTATATAGGGTCCAAATTTTCACCAAATACGTATGCCATTTTTTTTTTTTTTTTTTTTTTGTAACGTCCTTGACCAAGATTCTTCAGAGAGCCGCAAGGGGAGGATTTTTCTCATAAGGGCGGTAGTTGTGGTGTGACGTACAGGTGTCTCCCTTAACCTATTGTGTAGTAGTCACAGCCAACATGAGAATTGCACTTTAAAAAAAAAATCATAACTTGTGGTGCTCTTGCATTGATTTTCTGAATTTGACTTTTGAGAAATTTTGACACTTGGCCTTTTATTGACTCACCGTGACCTCTGACCTACTATTGATCTAATTTTAGTAAAGTTTTGTTAATGGGTTAACTTTTGATCATCATTTGCCAAGTTCCATCAATGCCGAGTTATAGGAAACCAATAGTCCCCTCCGCCCTTCTACACAAGTTGGTAATAAAGGGTAGGAAAGGGGTAAGGCCAATTTAATTCAGAGTTTAGTTTCTCTATATCAACAACGCCTATACACAACATACCCGGGCACTAAGACAGACTTACACGCATCCATTATCCTGTGTATCACAACCTTTACACACACACACACACACACACACACACACACACACACACACACACACACACACACACACACACACACACACACACACACACACACACACACACACACACACACACACACACACACACACACACACACACACACACACACACACACACACACACACACACACACACACACACACATATCTTCCCTGGCCAACCCGTTCAGACTCGAGTCTTTGAGTGGGCGAGTCGCTGTCTGTCACTCCTGCCATTTTGTGTAAAACGTAAGGAAAAAAAATTATTGCAGGGAAGATTGAATTTCTGTCTCAAGCGACCACGTCCGTAAGAATCGTCCGTGTGATGGTCCGTGGTCGTC